GACAGCGATTCTTCCCACTGGGAATGGTGGCAGGGGGTGGGAAACTCCCAGGATCCAGGTGGGTGCTGGAGGGAGGGAAGGGTATCCCAAGGTTTTGGGGGAATCCAGGGATCCGTCTCCAGGTGGCAGCTGCGCTAAAAACATGGACGTCCCTCGGAGCTGTGGCTTTTCCCACTGGGATTTTTGGGAATGTGCCGCCCTGATCCGTGGAAAACCCAGGATCACAGGGTTGCTCCAAGGAGGCACCCACAGAATCCCGGGAACGGGGTTTGGTGGGAGCTTCCCACCTCTGGATCATTGTTTTCCAGGGCCGGAGGAGCGGGATGAGGAGGGGGAGGAGCCCAAGACAGGTGGGTGCCCGATCCTGGTTTGGGGTGGCTCCAGCTGCTCAGCCCCTTCCGTATTCCCGATTTTTCCGACATTCCTGACCTGGCAGATCCCAGATAAACCTCCCCATTCCTTAATAAACCTCCCCATTCCTCCTTAATAAACCTCCCCATTCCTTAGTAAACCTCCCCATTCCTTAATAAAACTCCCAATTCCCAAATCAAACCTCCTGAACCCTTAACAAAACGACAGAATTCCATAATAAAACCTCCCAATTCCTTAATTTTCCAGCATCCAGCAGGTCCATGACAGGGATTCCCTTTTTCCACAAACCCTTGGAATTCCGCAGGGAAATTGGAAGCGGGTGTCGCTGTTTTGGGGTTTATTCCCCAAAAATGGGATCTTGGAGCCATTTCCTTTGCGAAGGGGCTGGGATTGACCCTCGGGAAGGGGGTGGGATTGACCATGGGATGTTTTTCCCTTTTCCCAGCTCTGCAGCTGCTGGAAAACACGGAGAGCAGAGAGGGTGAGTGGATGTTTCTGGCAAATCTGGGATAATTCCCTAAAATCCGTGCGGGAAGCATTCGTCGGGTTTTGGGGTGGATTTTCCCCCAGGTTTTCCATCGGCATTTCCCAAATTACGGATTCCCAGCTCCCGTTTCCGGCCCGGTTTGGGCTCTGCTGGTTTCTCCCGGCTTCCAGCAGCTCCTGCATCCTCATCCCTCCTTTTCCCGGCCACTCTGGGATCGAGAAAAGCCTCCCAACACTCAACCCTGGGAGGAATTTGGGGTTTTTTGGTTGTTTCCATGGATTTGCTGGGATGACGGGAATTGCTGGGGTTGGTCCTGCCATTCCAGGGAGCCCCCAGCAGCATCCTGGTGCTGAATTCCAGCTGGAATTCCGTGGGAATTGGCACCGCAGCTCCTGTTGGTGCCTTTCCCTGTTCTCCCAAGCCCTCCTTCCATCCCAGCCTGGAAAAGGATCCAGAGTTTTCCAAGCCTGCTCAATCCCAGCTCCTTCCCGTCCCCAAATCATGATTTTTCCACTCATTCCCTCCCTCACTGTGGGATCGGAGCTTGGCCTCTGCCGCTGGCTGATTTTAGTATTGGGAATTCCCCCTTCCCAATCTTTTTAGATCCTTTTTTTTATAATTTACTTTTTAATTTTTTTTATTATTTACTTTATTTTATTATTTTTTATTATTTGTAATAATTTATATTATTATTTTTTAATTATTTACTTTTTTAGAATTCCCAAGTTTTATTGCCGGGAATTAACCCTCCCCAATCATTTTATATCCTTGGGAAGGAACCTTCTTTTCCTCGCTTCCCAACCCAAAAATCCCACTTTTCCAGCAGAAACGAGGCTGGAACAACACCACCTCCCGGAATTTCCAGCCGGGAATGGGGATGAAGGGATAAAACCCCACCCGGCTGCGATTCCCAGGGTCTGGAGCAACCTGGGGAGGGTGGAGCCAAATAATTCATTAATTTATTAATTATCTATTAATTAACCCATCGATTTATTACTCCCAGCCCGGGAATTCCCTGTTCCTGTCTTTCCTCTCCATTCCCTTTCCCTCCCCCAGGCCGGGAGCAGGAGATCGATTGACGGGGCCGGGATCTCCCACCGGATCTCCGTGCGGACACCGCGGGTCCCTCTGGACTCGTTCTGCCCTTAAACGCTGGATCCCGGCAGGATTTGTCCCACCGGGAACGATCCCGGGGCATTTTTGGGAAGGAGGCACCCGCTGGCCGGGTGAGGTCCTGCTCTGGGGACTCGCTGTTCCCGTGGGATCGGGCCCATCCCGGGATCCCCCCGAGGGGGACACAGCTCCAACCCGAGTGCCGCTGGAGTGTCCCAGTCCCGCTGCCGCTCCCGCTCCGGAGCAGGGGAAGTCTCCGAGGGCTCCTCGGCTCTGAAATCCGGGATCTGGGGAGGGTTTCTCGTGCCTTGACAAATAAATTTGGGATCATGTCGGTTGATCCTTCCTGGCTCCGTGTGCTCTCCGGGGTTTGGCTAGGAATGGTGTGAGGCTCGGGATTCCTGGAGGAAAATCCCAAGCTGGCTCCCAAATTGAATCCCGCTGCCGAGATGGGGTGGGAATTCCCAGGGAAACCTTCCCGGGGCCCTTCCCGAATCCCGGTGGGAGATGATTTTTGATTGTCCTTCCCTGAGCTCTGCATCCCGATGGGAGAACATTCCCAAAATCCAGCCGAGGAGAAGCTTCTGGGATTGAGAAGGATGGACGGTGGATCCATCCCGGGATTTTATCTCCGGTTCCGTCCTTCCTGAGGTGCCGGGATGGAGCCGAGATCTCCTTCCTGGTGAGATTGGGATCGGTTCTGCCCATCCCTGAGCCGGTGCCTCCAGCTGCCCCAAATGCACTTTTCCAGAGGCCTCTGCTCCCGGCAGCACTGGCTTGCGGTCCTAGCCCCGATCCCAACCCCGGGAGATGGATTTTTGGATCACGGGATGAATCCCGCTTTTCCGGGTGGTGGCTGGTGATCTCCCACCCCGGGATAGCTCTGGGGCTGCCAGGGCACGCCCTGGGGACACCATCCATGGCTGGTCCTGGCATTTCTGCCCTGGGACATCATCCGGCATTCCCGGTCCCCTCTGGGGTGACGTCCATGGTCGCTATGGGCTGGGATCGGGATGTGGGAGGCAAATCCTGCTCCCTCCAGCCCGACAGGGAGCGCTCCGGGAAAGGTTCGGCTGACAGCGGGGTGAAAACCTGGAGGAGAGCAGAGATGGTCCCCATGGCTGCCGAGAGGGGATCCGGAGACGTCCCTGCACAGGGAGCCTCCGACCCCTCCTCTCTTCCTCCTCCTCCTCCTATTCCTCCTCCTCCTCCTCCTCCTCATCCTCCTCATCCTCATCCTCATCCTCCTCATCCTCATCCTCCTCATCCTCCTCATCCTCATCCTCATCCTCATCCTCATGCCACACCCTCAGAGTCCCATCCTTAGGGCCACACCCTCATAGCCACGCCCATGGTGCCACGCCCTCACAGTCACGCCCACACAGCCACGCCCTCTCAGCCACGCCCTCACAGTCACAGCCCTGCAGTCCCCCCTCCTTGCCCATTCCGGGTCGCTGGAGTCTGGGATGCCCCTCCCAGCGCCCCAAGGGTTAACGGTGTCCAGCAGGGTGGCCCTTCTGCCCCCATGTGACCTGGCCAGCCACGGGGCCACCATGGGGACATCCAGCAGGGACATCCAGGCTGGGACATCCAGGCAGGGACATCCAGGCTGGGACATCCAGGCAGGGACATCCAGGCAGGGACATCCAGGCTGGGACATCCAGCAGGGACATCCAGGCTGGGACATCCAGGCAGGGACATCCAGGCAGGGACATCCATCCCTCCATCCAGGCAGGGATATCCCTCCCTCCATCCTGAGTCCATCAGGGCCAGCCGGACCCCCCCGGATCCGACTGCGGCCCATGAAGCTCTCCCGGACACTTTGTCACTGTTGCTCCTGCCTCTCCGGATCCCAGTGGGAATTCCCCTGCATCCCGGCGGGGTGCTGGGATGCTCCAAGCCCCACCCATGCCTGGCATCCAGGGGGTGGCAGGGAAAAAAGAGTTTCCCATCGATCCTCGGCATTGGGATGGAGCAGGGGATATTCCTGCCGGAACCTGCTCCCAGGCTGGTACCCCCCAAGTATTCCCAAAAAAAAACAAACCATCGGATCCGGCACAATTTAGGGGGAAAGCTCCATTTCCCTGCTCAGAACGGGGCTGGACTGAGAGGAATTCTGCGCATCCCGCGGTCCTGGCTCTGGGATGACACCTGGAAAAGCTTGGGAATGCAGCTTCTCCGACCTGGACTGACAGTCAGGAGCCGAGGTGGAGACTTTTGGCTCAGAAAAACCTTGGAAAAGCCTGGTGCCAGGAGTGCTCCGGGATGTGAATGTCCTGGATCTTGTCCCTGCAGAAAGAGGCGCCGGTGGGAAGGACACCGGGACTTTGTCCTGGGAGCAGCTGCTGCTCCAACCTCTTTGGATACCTTGGAAAAACAGGGAAAAACGCCCAGGTGGATTTGGAGCTCCAGATTCCTTAATTTTCCAGAGCCGGAGCAGGTTTCTTTCCCTGAAAAATCAGCGTTTGGATGTAGAAAAGCAGGATTAGGGAGCTCAGGAAAAGTGGGATTTTCCTGTGTTTCCAGGTGGATGAATGACTCCAGGTCAGGGATATTTCCGGCGGAAAACGTTGGGAATTGAGGGGGGGGGGAGTTCCCAAGTCCAGCTCCTCATTCCTGGGGGGTTTTTGTGATCCCCTCACTGTCCCTTTTGGAGTTGGGAATGACATTCCAGTGGCATTCTGGTGACATCTCAGGGATATCCTGGAACCATCCCGGTGCCATCCCAACTCCCCTCAGCCAGAAAAAATCCAATCCCACTGAATTATCCTAAACCAAACAGGGATAACACATCCCAGGGAAGGGAAATTCCCTGTTCCAAATCCTTCCAGCCCTTCCAGCATTTTCCACATCCCAGTCCGTGCCCCATTCCCGCCCTCTGGAAGTGCTGGCCAGCCCCTTCCTGGCACATCCCAATGATTTATTGAGCTCCTTCTATCCATAACAAAAAAAGGCATTCATAATTCCCTGAGCTTGGAAACAGTTGGGATACCGGATTATCGGGATATTCGTTGCCACCTTCTCACTCGGCGTTTATGAGGAGTACGGATTTATTGAAATATATATTTATATTCATATATAGATCTTTTCCAACCCCTTTCCCAGGGATTTTCCCCCCTCCCCCAAACCCTTCCCAAACCCAGATCCGGGCTCAGTTTTTGTTGGGAATTCTCTGCCTGGCCGGGATGTACGGCAGCAACGTCTGCGTGCTCTTATCAGCCACGGTCTGGGTGCTGCTGTTCCTCGTGGCCCTGCGGATCGGGATGGCTCCCGGATTCCTTGGGAGTTGCTCCCGAGTCCCCTTCCTGCCGGGATCGTCGGGAACGTCGGGAACGTCGGCGTCGCCATCGTCATCGCAGCACAGGGCGTGGTAGAGCACCTTGTCGCTGAAGCGGACGCGCTCCCGCGTCCCTGCCGGCCGCTGCGCCGGGATTTTGGGAATGGCAGTGCTCCCGAAACATTCCTCACTGGAGGAATCCGGGGTTCCCCCGCCCCCACGGGGGCCGTTGGCCATGGGCACCCCACCGTTCATCAGCCGGGCTGGCACCGGCCGCAGAGGCTCCGGACAATCGCCGGGGTCCGAGGGCGTGGAGGCGTCCAGGAAGGAACAGAATTCCCAACTGTCCGAGAGGATGTCGGAAGCGGCGAAGTCCAGCGGGCCCAGCTCGAGGCTGGCGCCGCCCCGGTCACTGCTGGACGTGCTGCTGGCCGTGGCTGGAGTCCAAGCGTCCGGCTCCAGGTCCAGAGCAAAGTCCGACGTCAGGCGGTCAATCTGGGACACGACCTGCAGAGACAGGGATGGACACGGGGATGGATGGATGGATGGATGGATGATGGATGGATGGATGATGGATGGATGATGGATGGATGGATGATGGATGGAGGATGGATGGATGGATGATGGATGGATGGATGATTGATGGATGATGGATGGATGATGGATGATGATGGATGGATGATGGATGGATGGATGATGGATGATGGATGGATGGATGGATGATGGATGATGGATGGATGGATG